GGGGGGGGCGCGCGGGTCGGCTGGGCTCTTTTCTGCGGGAGGAGCGCGGCCAGCCCTCCTTGCCTGCCCCCGCTTCCCTCCGGGCGCCTTTACCTGTGGACCTTTCCCCTTCCGCGCCTCCCCGGGGCGGAGAAAGCTGCCCCTGCCCGCCTCCCGCAAAAGTTGTTCTTCTCCTCTCCACCCCCCCAGCCTCCCGCGGAGGGAGTTGCCTCTTGCTGATCCGTGCTCTGCCCCCCCTCCCCACACAAACCGGCCTCGTTGTTGTTTTCCCGCGTCCCCACGACCCCCGCTTCCCCCTCAAGACCTCCTCCCGCCCTCTTGCCCGGCGGTCAATAAGGAAACAAAAGGCTCCGCTGTCTGAGGGCAGGCAGGGAGCCATCTCGTCACCGCACTTGAGCTGTATCCGGCTCCTTCCTTTCCTAGCACGACCTGCTCAAGAAGATGGCACTGCTAATGGCCCAATGGCTCATAGGGACCAGTTGCCCCTCAGTGGAGGGCCAGAAACGTCCAAAAGGTTTACTCAGTGTCCAGTGCGCAATGGCTGACGCAGGGAGGGCTTAGTTTAGCTAGATCCCACCACATTCACCTTCAGGAAGATTGCCAGGCAAGTGGGCATCGGTGGGCAGCCTTAAGGTTGCAATCTTAAGTACGACTGCAGTACGGCCACTACAGTACTACAGTACTTTAGTTAGGCTTCCTTCAGTCTCAAGAAAAGGTTGCAATCTTAAGTACGACTGCAGTAAGGCCACTACAGTACTACTTTAGCTAGGCATCCTTCAATCTCGAGAGATTATGGTAACGTATGGAGGATTTGGAACAGCATCTAGTGCAGCTGAGAAGGCCAATTCGAGAGTGACAGTCCCTTCCACACTGAAGACAAATACAATCTGTCCCCTTTCCAGCTCCCTGATTTTGCTGGTTTTGTGACTGCCTCTTTGCCTCAGCCTGCTGGACAAGGGGGTGGAAGTACATTGTATTGAACTCTCTGGGGCTTACTTTGGCATAAGCCAGGCACAGGATTCAGCTGTAAATCTGTTTGCTCAAGAATTCGTTCCCTAGTGCAGCTACAGTTGTTCAAATGTTTACTCTTTCCAATCGTTGCTGATGCAAACCTCTTTAAAACAGACTTCAGAATATGAAGAGAAAGATTTCCAGATAAGGTTTCTAAAAGTCAGAACACCCTGCACATCAAAAGCTAGCATGCTCAGGCTAAAAAGCTTTCATTTTGACACACTGGCTTACCTCAGGTAAGAATGATTTTAACAAGGTGAACAATATTTCTAATCAGTTGCTGATGGGATATATGTGGGTAGTCTTCCTTGGTTCCTCCCCAACCCGCCCCCATAGCAGTTTATGGACTGAGCAAGGGCAGTCACATCAACTCTGAAGGGGAGGGGACCCCCCCCACACTCAGTCCACTAGCTGGCAATACTCAGGCGTGTCATTAGCCATGTTGGCACCAGGGGCAAGCACCACTGTCTCCCAGGCCCTCTGCCATGAGGCATGGACATGAGCTCCTCATTAAAAGAGAGGGGGAGAATGTTATGTCGCCCTTCCCAAAAGAAAGAATGTTTAGGCCCTTACAAAAAAATGAACTGGATAGGGGCAGTAGGTGCTGCTGTTAATTTTCCTGACTGACACCAATACTGTATGTTCACCACTAAAGTATTTGTGACTTGATCTTTCCGGGTTTTGTTTTTTTTTGTTTTTTTTGGGGGGGGGGGGAATAGTGAGGCAAAGCCCCAGTTGTTCTATCCCAGTTTCAGCCCTCCTTGTGTCCCTCTGTCCAAAACAGGTTACAGTGATGTTTCGTTTCCCTCCTTCTTAACAATTATTATCTCTGTTGGTTTGAATTACTCATGTTCAGTTATTCATTTGTTCATGTTGTGAATAAATTATACACCACACACACCCTGAAGGCAAAAGTTAACCTTTGTCTGTCATGTTTATTAATGAGAGGAAGAAAGCAGATGTCATTTAAATAACTGTGGCATAAATATACTACATTTTTCCTAGTTTATGGGCTTCCTTCACAGACAAACTGTCTGGACTAAGACAGGAGATGCCGTCGTGTCCCTTCAGCGCTGCCTGGGGACTGTACTGCAATGGATGCAGGAGAATGGGCTGAGGCTGAACCCGGACAAGATGGAGGTGGTGAGGGTGCTCGCCCCCACAGTTGGGGGTTCGGGAAACTCCCTCACTTTTGGGGGGGGTGACTCTTCCCGCCAGGGATGGGGTCCATAGCTTGGGGATCCATCTGGACCCGGTGCTCACCATGGAATCCCAGGTGACGTAGGTGGTCCGCACGGCCTTTTTTCACCTCAGGCGGATAGCCCAGCTGCGGTCCTACCTTGATGTGGGGGCGCTCACTACCTTGGTGCATGCGCTCGTAATCTCGAGATTAGACCATTGCAATGCGCTCTACGTGGGACTACCTTTGAGGCTGCTGCAGAAATTACAGGTGGTGCAGAATGCTTCGGCCAGATTACTTAGTGGTGTGAAAAAACACCAACATATTTCCCCCACTCTGGCCACATTGCATTGGCTGCCCATCCGATTCCGCATCGACTTCGATGTGTTGATGCTTACCTATAAAGCCCTAAACAGTTTAGGGCCTCGATACTTGGTGGAACGCCTCCTCCCACCAAGATCTACCCGTGTCACTCGTGCGAGCCAGGAGGTGAGGCGGAGGAGCCTAACGCCAAGGGAGGCCCGGAAGGAAAAGACAAGAAACCGGGCCTTCTCGGCGGTGGCTCCTCGCCTCTGGAACAACTTACCTCCTGAGATTCGCGGGGCTCCCTCGCTGGGTACTTTTAAGAAGCAATTAAAAACTTGGATGTTTCGGCAGTCCTTTCCATCACATAACTCATGACCTCTTTCTTTCCTTCTTTACTGTTCTATGTTTTGTGTTTTGGCATCGTAATGTAGTGTTTTTATGATTTAGAACTGTTTATTTACATCGTTTACTGTATTATTTTTAAGGTTGTTAGCCGCCTAGAGTGGTCCTCGCTTGACCAGATAGGCGGGAAATAAATAAATAAATAAATAAAGAGCATGCAGCAAATGTTGGCCTTAGCAGGCGGTGCCATATACTTCTGATTTGTATCCCACTTTGAACTACATGAATTTCACATTTGGATTTTCTGGGTTCCTCTTGGTGCCGGTACCTTTCCTGAGGTGCTACCTGTCACAAAGGAAAGTTGAGAGTTGCAAATTGTCATATTATTTGCAAATGTGGCCAGAAATACTCTACTCTCTTTAGTTCAGAGGTGGTTGCCGTCTATCCACCTAACTATGGGGCCTCCCTTAATAATTCTCAGGCCAATATTTTGAACACAAGGGAATAATTTCTTCATAAACAGATGGACATTGGGGATATGTATCTAGATGGCTCAGTCCAGGTTTTGAGAAGATATCCTTTAAAGGCAGCAATCAAGGGTCACATTTAAGAGCTTGGTGGGATGGGTTTTGTCTGTGTGTTTGTGTGTGTGTGTGCATGCATGCGCACTGCAGCTGGGGCTGGTAAGTCGTAGGTAAGTAGGCTGGATTTGAAAACTGATCCCCTAATAACAAGCCTTTGATTGAGACTAGATTATATCTGGATTTAAGGCAGGAAACCAAGCAACTCTTGCGGGGAAGAGGGATGAAGAAAGAGTCTATTGCAAACACTGTTCTCAGTGCTTTGTCCACCTGAAAAATTAAGCATGAAGGAAATGACCCTGAGCCAGAGAGAGAGAGAGAGAGAACAGATGCTTTGCTCACCGCCAGCCTCCTATGATGTTGGACTTGTGGTAAGCCATTGGGATAACTCTCTGGATGTTCTGCCTTGCCTTTGTGTCTCTCTTCCCCTGTCCTATTTCCTGCCAGGAACCAAACACAAAGAGCATGAGAGAAAGCCCTTTAGCAATAGGACTTGGCTGCAGGACTTTAGGTAGGAAGGGAAATTGGTCTGTCATTCGTACATCAGAGATGCTAAATTACTTTCAGCTACTGCTTTCAGTGTATCCATGGCAGATGTGGTCACTAGCCCTGCTTACTGGGATATTCTGGGTGTTGTAATAAAGAAAAGTAACATTTCCCATTTGTGGTGGATGGAACAACGTATCTGTCATTCTCTTTTCCCCATCTCACTTTATTTCAACCGCTCTACCATGCATATTGTGTATATAAATCTGTGGTGTAACAGTTACGCCCCATGGATCTGAGGAAATAGATTTGTAATCCAAGAAAACTCATAATGACATAGATTTTTAATAATAATAATAATAATAATAATAATAATAATTATAATAATAATTGAACTGCATAGCTGGAAGGGGCCCTATGGTTCATCCAGTAGCCTAAAGTGTCAACACTGTTTCATTTGAGAGCTTTTTTGTGATAGATGCTGAAAATGACTGACAAACTTACCCAATTTTATTTATTTAAAATATTTTTTATCCTGCATTTCTCCTTAAAAAGAACCCAAGGCAGCTTACCTAATTAAAAAGACAATCTGTAGAAGCTAAAAACAGCCAGTATACAAATATGAAAAAATAATTACACAATTAGTACATTAAAAACAATAATAAAACCAATACTAAAACACATTGAAAACAACAGAACACAACTATTCATTTAAAAACATTTCTCAGACCACCGGTTGTTAAGGGAAGGCCTGCCTGAAGAGAAAGGTCTTTGCCCGCTTGTGGAAGGACAGCAATGATGGGGCCAGCCTGTCTTCCCATGGGAGGGAGTTCCAGAGTCTGGGAACAACGATAGAGAAGGCTCTCTCTTGTGTCCCCACCAAGCACACCTGTGAGGATGGTGGGACTGAGAGAAAGGCCTCCCCTGGTTATCTTAAAGCCCAGTCAAGATCATAGAGGAAGATGCAGTCTTTTAAATACAGTACCTTGGACCCAAGCCATTGAGGGCTTGATAGATTAAGACCAGCACTTTGAATTGTGCCCAGAAACAGA